TCATTTTCATTGAGTTCTAGGAAGTCTTTAATTTCTTTATTTCTTCCTTAATCCAGCTGTTATTGAGTAGCAAGTTGTCCAGTTTCCATGTGCATGTTGGCTTTTTGTTATTTCCGTTGTATACACACGTCTTTGTAGATGGAAAAATATTCAATCCTCTCCAGCTATTGGACACATACACATATACACATTTTTGGTGGATGAAACAAATTCAAGCATGAATTGCAACAACTTTACTATTTATCCCACAGCTTACATATTCCAGATATTACTTTTTTATTAATTTTACTTTATTTTATTTTATTAATTATACTTTATTCACTTTGTATCTCCCCATAAGCCCCACCCTCCCTCCACCTTCTTCAGGCATGCATTTCTTTCAAGCAGCATAAAAATCACAAGGTGGTTACATTCTATTTTTCTTTAAGTGAATGATTACAAGGAGTACACTTAGGAAAAACATTTTCCCCAACCCTTCATGTAATTAGATGTTTTAAGTATTATGTGTGAGAAGCAAATATGAAAAATAAATTATTCCCAAGAACCCATATAAATTTGTAACTCAGTAACTTGTTATATATTAACAAGGTGTGAGCAAGCAAGGCATTATCTCAGCCAGCTTTTCTTTACTGGCAGGCTGCGATTTGTGATTACAAAGAAAGAATCAATTATCTTCAAAGGTAATCTTATACAAATCTTAAAAGAATTTCTTTTTTTTTTGAATTTTATTTTTTTCTTATCAGTTACATTATATTAACTCTGTATCCCAGCCGTGTCCCGATCCCTCATTCCCTCCCAGTTCCTCCCTCCCTCCCTCATCTCCACCGTGCCCCTTGCCAAGTCCACTGATGGGGGGACCTCCTCCCCATTCATCTGATAAAAGAATTTCAAATCTAAACTTTTATGTGAAAATCAGCTATTTTTACTTTAAATCTTTAAGGTGTGCACCTACTCATTAATAAGTTTTATTAAATCATATCAGGAAACTAAGGGCAAAAATTAGTATGAGAAATTAATCACCAAGAAGCCAAGCTTTGGTGAGAGAGTCACATCAGCTAGTTCTAGCTGGCATATATATATATATATATATATATATATATATATATATATATATTTTTTTTTTTTTTCTCACTAAACTTCCGTAGTCCCTGGCTTTACTATTACAAGTAAATTTTTCTGAACTTCAAACTGTTCCCTAAGATATTTCTACCTCAGAATGACTAGCAAAAAACATATTTATCTAACCTTGCCCTTTCCCTAACCTTTCTCTTTATCTAACCTTGCTAAACAAGGTTATTTTTTAAAATTCTATTTTTTAAAATTCTATTTTATAAAAAATTCTATTCTATTTTTTCAAATTCTTTCCAAGGTCATTGCTAGAGATCTAAATCTGTAGGTTGTTTTCAAGGATGGTGGTTGAATCTTTAATTTGCTCCAGCAGAAATGCCTTAAAGAAATGCTGTATTGTTATTGTGAGTGTCAGTGATATTGCCCCGTGAGGTGCTGGAAGCCACCATAAAATTTTCATACAAGTTATGTCTTATGAAGTCCTCAGGACACTTAGTCCCTGAGGCTCTTCCATCTAAGAAAAATCCACTTTAGTTGTGTTAATCAGTAGGCTTCATTCCTGAGTTCTAAAGCTATTTTGCTGTTCCTCCTGCATGGCCCTGGTAGGAGAATTAATTTTATATTTTCTAATTGTTGTAGAAATTAATATAAAATCCACATGAAAGTTTTATAAAATGTAGTCTGGGCTATGTTAATTTTCCCTTAGGGAAAAAAAAATCAGCCCTTACCTCATCAATTAAAAGGGAACCAGAAGCTTGAGGTTTTGCTAATCTATCAGCATCATTCTGGGGCTGCAGATTTGTGCAGAGGTCACACTGGTTCACAAAATGAAGATAGGATTTTATTGGGGAGTAATGGCTGCATAAATTCAGATGTTCTCTATATATCTGTATGAAAGTCCTTATTCCACAAGCCAGTGAATAGATTTAAGAATTCTATCATCTGTCAAATATGTCACTAATTATGGTGAGGGCACAGAAATGGCTGTGCCAGTGTCTGTGGATCCCCTGGATTAGAATGTTACCTTCCCATAACACGCTTAGAGTAACAGGGCTCTGTAATGACTTTCATGGATTCTGGGTGTCAGGTTAACTTAGGCCCTAACTACTAGTTCTTGAGATGTTTCAGCATTTCACTTTCCTGTATATATGACCACAATAAGTGGAAACACATCTCTGTGTGCAAGGATTGGAGGGAACATATGCACTAATAAAGGACAAAGTGACTGTCTTCAGTCAGCAGTTTACAGTTTAAACTGACTCAGGTCAGGAAACTAGGCAAAGCACTCTAATGCTATATCACAAATGCTCCCAGCTTCCTGATAATCTCTTTTTAGTCCCTATTTAGAGAGAATAGATTTAGTATCTTTGGTGGCCATTCAGGTTCTACATCCTGCCTTTCTAGCTTTCTGAAGTTCATCTCCCACTGGAAAATACACTGGCTGCTAGGATTTAAACATGATTTGTTCCACACACATCTTATATGGAAATTATTCTCCATCATGAGCTAGTAAGAGATGCTATCATGTCAGATCTCAGAGAATTCACTATTATAGAGTTCTTCTCTATGAATGGATCAATACATCACTCTAATTAATGGTAGTTTTCTGTGTAACTGTTATAAATGCTACTCTAACAAGGTCTCTTATACCCTCAATATTTCTCACTCTGTGATTCCCTGTGCTGCCAGCACTCCACTAGCAAAAAGGTCTTTTTCTAGGTGAAAGCCAATAGTCTTGAACAAAAACAGTGAACAGAAATAAGCCTCTAAAATAGTAACCTGATAGTCATTGCATTGTTTCATTGGCAGCAATAGATGGACCAAAATGCTAAGGCTAACCTTGATGCTTGTTACAGTTCTTCCAAGTCCTTGTGCTAAGTGCTACCAGCTATCCTCTACCCTCTATTGTTTTTCAGATTTAACTCTTCATTTGAGTCTCAGAGAGCCTTGTTCTAGAATACTTTCTTCAAAAATTTATTTATTTTTAAAATTCTTTATTAATTACATTTTATTCACTTTGTATCCCCCTGAGGTTCTCTCCCTCCTAGCGTCCAAATCCCTCCCTTCCTCTATCCTCTGCATGCATGCCCCTCCCCAAGTCCACTGATAGGGGAGGACTTCTTTTCCTTCCTTCTGGTAATAGTAAATTAGTTCTCATCAGGAGTGGGTGCATTGTCTTCTTCTGTGGACTGGTGATGTTGCTCCCCCTCAGGAAGAGGGAATTAAAGAGCAGGCCAATCAGTTCATGTCAGAGACAGTCCCTATTCCTATTACTATGGAACCCACTTGGATACTGAACTGCCATGGGCTACATCTGTGCAGGGGTCTCAGGATATATCCATGCAATGTCCTTGGTTGAAGTATTCATCTCAGGAAAGACGCCTGTGCTCAGATGTTTTTGAACTCATTGGCACAGGAGACAACTTCCTGAACAGAACACCAACAGCACAGGCTCTAAGAGCAACAATCAATAAATGGGGCCTCATGAAACTGAAAAGCTTCTGTATCACAAAGGACCCTGTCGTCAGAACAAAATGACTGCCTACAGATTGGGAAAGCTTCTTCACCAACCTTATATCTGACAGAGGATTAATATCCAGTATATATAAAGAACTCAAGAAGTAAAAAAAAAAACAGCAACTCAAGTAATTCAATTAAAGAATGGAGTGCAGAGCTAAATAGAGAAGACCCCTGTGCCCAAATTTTTTGGTTCTGTTGTTCTTCTTGTGGAGTTCCTGTCCTCTCCAGATCTTACTGCTTCCCACTTCTTTCCTAATTTATTTATGTATATTGGTTTTTAGCCTGAATGTATGTCTTTGTACCATACATATGAGTACCTGTGGAGGCCTGAAGGGGGCATTGGATCCTTTGGAACTGGAGTTACAGACCATTATGATCATTATGTGGGTGCTGGAGACTAAACCCAAGTTTAGTGCATTAGAGAACTTAAAGCTGCCTTGTATAACTGAGATCAGAGCAAGTTTCTCAAACGTGGAAAACTGGCTTCTCCTGCAATTATTTTCTTTTTCTCCAGATTTGTTTGATACAGGAAGTGGCACTGATGCCATTCACAGCTGGTACTGTTAAAAGCAGAACTCATATTTTGAATTTCTTGTTCTGCTTCTCAGTGTAGACTTAGTACACATCCAAACACACAAACTGACTAGATCTCTAGTGAAGGGTTTGTCTGTGCTCTAGTCTTGTTTTGCATGGTAAAGACATATGAATGGGTAATGTTCCTGGTTACGTTTTCCCCAGAGAAGCATATTCTAGATACTTTGACTGTAGAAAATAAAATTATACCTATATATGTCAAGCTTAACAGATGGAATTTCGTATTGTCTTTTGTGAATTTTGATTACAAGAAGCTGATCAAAGTAAAATAATTTTCTAGGATTCAAACAAGTTATTGTTGATTCTCTATGTCCATCCTTGGCTTGGTATTGGTTGAAACCTTTTCAGCTGGAAGGCACCCAATAGGCTGTCTCTCGTAGTTAGAGGCGATCTGCAGATCTGGAAAGGTGCATTTCATAAGACGGTTGCTACTGTGACTTCATTTCTCTGTTACCAGGGAGAGGATCATCTCTAAGGCTTCTTCATGTATGTACTTCTTGTGTGGCTAAGGTAACGAAAAGCCTTTGTTTCCTTAATTCAGTAGTGCAGAGTAGGTGGAATGAACAGCATGCATTTTCTGATAATCATAAATTGTGAATATTGAGTGTGAGTGAGCATGTTTATTCACTGTGTACAGAGTTGTATTCTCCTGTGACTGAGAAATTATTAATGCCCACCAACTAAAGGGTCCCGCAAGGACTTCTGCTCAATGGGTTTAGAGCACCAGTACTGCAAGATAGTTACTGTTCTAGAGATCTGTTTTACAGTATACTTGCCCACCTACTTAGCATTGCTGCACTGTATTCTCAGAAAGAGCACACATTTTATCATACATCTTTAAAATAAAACAAAGCGCAAAATGGTTCAGAGCTGTGGTCACTGTTGCCTGAGGATTGGTGTGGTGTACTCCTGTCCCTCAAGTGGATGCTAACGAGGGGAAAAATGCCTTTTTTTCTGATTAATAAAATTGCAATGTGCTATTTTCATAAGCATTGATGGATAGTTGATATTGATCAGTTCTACGTGATACTGAGGGCAGAGGTCATTGTTTAAACAATCCGGTGCTAACAAAGGAGCACTGAGCATGCTGCTGTAACTTACTGTTTACAAATTTCCTATTTAGGTTCAAAGTGCTAAACGGGGGAGTGTGACATTCAGTATTGGTTTACACAGGTCATATAAGGTTTTGTTGGATCACAGAAACAAACAGATTTTTCTTTGCCTTTTTTCCGCTATGGACATGTTTAAAATGTTTCTGAAAGGTATGATGTTTTTTCCATAGAAAAAGTTGTCACATTAGAGGAAGGTGTGGGTTAATTTATTAACATTTAATGTGTTTTCAAGGGCCTGGTTCTGTATGCTTTATTTATAGCCAAGACACGTGTCTGTAAAACTTCTCTGACACACAAAAGCATTTTGAAAGAAATCTTCAAAGTGTTGGTTGACTTGGACTCAACCAATCACTCTCCAAAGTTTTTATCAAGGTGGTGATAAAAACTGCTCAGATGGTTACTTGGTAGTAATGAAAAGAAATATCCAGTAATCCTCTGGGGGCTGACTTCAGTTTCTCTTAGCATGCATATATATATATATATATATATATATGGAATGGTTATTATTTTAAGTCACTAAAGAAAGTGAAGACAGCTTTGACAGCAGAGAGGAGCAAGTTCTCTCTTAGTGATGGGTACCATGTGTAAGTGATATGTCTTTGAGGAGAAATTCAAGAGCCAGGAATACCACAAATTTACACAGCACCACACACCTCAAAAGGGGATTTGATAGAATTTACATTTCTCCCTTTGGCGTTTATGGTAATTAAACAATCAGGGGTCTGAAAAGGACATAAAGAGATTATAATTAGACTAGTTCCTGCAAAATGGGTGCATCAAAGTCTCCGGGACAAACTTGACCTACATCATCAGGGTATAATTGGGAGTCCCCAGCCTCTGGCCTCATAGCTAGGGACTGGTAAACCTGTAATAGCAACTAATTAAAAGTCTGGTTAGAAATCTTTTGGATTTTTTATTGAAGAAATCTAGACAGAAGTTTATAAGGCAGGGAATGACAAGTAAGTTTAAGAAATGGAGGAGAAGAAGGATTAAGAAGTACCTTGTCCAACTCTTTGTTGGACTTTCAATGAGCCACTGGCCAAAGCATGGAGAATTTTCTTATATTTTTGAAGATCTGTCTGGCATTTTTAGATCTTGTCTTTTACAATACCTGACTGGTTGACATAGAAGCAGCATTCCTCCCTGAGGAAAAGACACAACCCTCCCCACTTGCTGTTAGTAAATGCAATCCTCATTGCTTTTATAGTACTGTGATTAGCACTGAGTATTTATCCCTGGAGCATAAGGATAGGAAACAGAGAGTCATAACTTTCCAAACAAACAGAATTAGGCAGCTCAGTTACATCTTGCTCTTTGCGCTGGACGGGGTGAAAGATTTTTATAATTGAATGAGAGGGGAATGATATTTGGCTATAAAGGGGTTTGGGACATTCTATATTCAGGAATCCACCTGGGTAGCTGATAAGGAGAAAGGTGTGTCAGATTGTGTGGTTTGAAGGAGAAAAGGGGGAGGACAGCTAGCCTGGCTGGGTCAAGAGGATGCAGGGAGTAAAAGAAATAGAGGCTTCTGTTTTAAGTAGGAGGGCCCTTCTCAGCAAGGGGGCAGGAAAGGTTGGTACCACTAGGAAAGAGTGGGTAAAGGGAATATGTCTAAAATACAGCTAAGTGGTGAGTTTTGGTGAAGCTGCTAAGACAGTCCCCCTAATCTGGCAATAGAGAAAGTAGAAGGAGAGATGGATCTCCAAAACTCTCAGGACAGAAAAAGTGGCCCTGAATTCTAGAAGGAAGGAGATGAGGTGCCTCATACTGGCATGACTACCTGAGGCTCACTGTTTTATATGGAAGTGGTTCGACCAAGGGGACCTGGGACCCCTCAGTTTTCCCTAGTCTGACCTAAGAGGCCTGGATGATGATCTGGGCTTGATGTCCTTATGCTTTGAAGTACATGAGGACCACAAGTGGCCCAAAGTCCCTCTTGATGGCACTATGAACATTGTTGAAATGGTTTGTAAGGATTTGGACAAGCTCAATTCCCAGTGGCCCTCCTGACTCTATCTGAAAAGAAGATTAGGAGGTTCTTGGGCCTTGGGAGACTGGGCAGTTGCTATGGCCTGCTGAAAGGACTTAGATAGCATTAAAAAAGAAATTGGGTGTGTGTGCTTTTGCATCTCTCCCATGGCATGTATACTTTGAAGGCCACAGTTAAGACTTCTGTCTGTGGAGTCAGGGGTCTTTCTATAGTTGTTTAAGCTTGGTCCTAATATCAGGAAGATTCTGGTGGAAGATGTAGGTCATAAGAAGTTGTTTTCCATCTGGAGATTCTGGATCCAGATTTATACATAGCAAGAGAGCCTTTGTAAGGTGGTCTAGAAATTAATATGGGTCTCTTTGTTTGTCCTGGATGACTTCTTGGATTTTTTCACAGTTTACCACTTTATAGGAGGCTTGGTAAGTATTAAGTTGTTTTCTAACAATGATAATTCCAGGACTGCTCCAGTGGGTTGGGTAGAATTAGTTTTGGATTTCATCTGCATATACCCTGACCTGATTCCAGACTTGTCTGTGCTCCTCAGCAAGAAGATTGTTAGTGAGAATCATAAAAACATCATGGAAAATGAGGTTCCATTATTGGTTAACATTCTGAAATTCTTTTAAAAAGGTAGAAGAATTAGCAGTTTAGGACACCAATCTCCTTTCTATTTTAAAGAGTTTATTTAATGAGATAGGGACAAGTATTATGACTAATCATTCCACTACAGCAACCTAGACAAAAGAAGAACCATAGCTAGTTGAGGCCAGGTACGGGTAGGTAAAGGGAGTCCCACTGTGGAGCAGAGTACCTGCTGGACTAAGGGCTGTAACTGGGCTGAACAGGTGACTGAAAGGAATAATTTGGGTGGCTTATCACTGAGGAGAAAGAAAGGAAAGACTAATGAGGCCAAAGAGAGAAAGAAGGGACTATGGATTGAGGCCAATAAGGAGGAGGTTCATTAACATAATCAAAATTATTGGAGCAATCATCTGGTTTGGGCTTCATACCTAAGAGGCATTGTTTTTCCCTGGTTAACTTATGTCATGTACTCACTTTTAATCAAGATAGGAGTAAAATCATGTGGCAAAATCCACTTTTTCTAATCCTAGCGAAGATGTCAGCCATGTGGCTGCCTTCATTCTGATTAGAGGGAAAGCATGTAAGATGGCAGCAAGACCCATGTTTCCTCTAAGATAGTTACCTCTGTATAACTATCAACCCTGGTGTTACAAGTTATCGGTTAACCCTTTTTGTTATAGAATTTATAGGTTTTTAATCATACCCAAAATGCTTAAAAATCTTGAGGTAAGATTATACCTTAGCCAAAGTTCTAGAGTTAAACCCAAACTAAAAGAATATAAGGTGTGTAGGTAGCAATAGTGTCCACAGGAAAAGTCTGTCCAGGTTTGTTTTATTTTGTTTTCCTTTCTCTGTCCCATAGTCAGGTGATGGGACAGATAATTTGGAAGAAACCTTTAAACAAGCATGCTTGGGTCAAGAGAAGGGTGAGCCATACCCCAACTCGAGAGTCAGCTTTGAATTGAAGTGGGACAACAGAAGACAACATTCTAATGCCACTCATACCTAAAAGGCACCTAAATTCTTGTAAAACTGATTCCAATAAGCTACGAACAAACAAGGCTTAGATACAGGAAGTTTTGAGCCCTGGCTATAGACAGAGGAACTGCAGAAGGGAACTGAGAGATCCACCAGCAAGTAAACAGTGTGTGTGGAGGGGGCAGGGCAGGGTGCAAGCTGCAGTCAGCCTACTCCTTTGTTTTCTCTGCCTGCTTCCAGGTCTACCTTCCTGCTCCTTCTTTGCAACAAATTTACAGATTCATCAAAGGTAGCTTAAAAGACAGGGTATTTAGACCATGTGGGGACTGGTGGAACAGGAGACCAGATTAAAACAGACAGGGCTTGGAGAGGAGAAATGCAGAATGGGGAGTCTCTTTTCATTTTCATGATTGTTCCCAGTATTTGTAAAGGTCCCAAATGATTAGGATATAGAGTTCAGTTACACACCCCTTTATTGAGGCCAAATTTGGTTTAGAGCCCTGCAGGTCAAGTGTCAGGTGGTGCTGGAGATTTCCTAAAAAAACCTCCATATAGATTACAGAAGACACTGTTTCCCTAGATGAAAGGAGGAGGGAAAATGACACTGCTACCTGTTGGCATGGATGCCCCCAGGACTCCATGAGCACTAGAGAAAGACACAGTGGTTGATCACTGCACTCCAGGGCGATTGGGAGCTTAGCCTAGCTAAGCCCAAGGAGACATGTGGTGTCTGGTTGCAGAGTTTTCGCAGAGGCCAGAAGGTAAAGAGGCCAGATGGCAAGGGGGCAAAAAGCAAGCTCTAGGAGGGGGGCATCTCAACAATGGAAAATATTGGAGGATGGAGTCACAAAAAGCAAGAGGGCCCAAAGGAGCAAGGGGATTATAGGTATCTACAAAGGGAAGGTGGGAGAAGGCAGTAAGGGGCACACTAGCCTGTGTGAACCTAAGGTGTTCGGGTCCAAAATTAACTAAAGGAAAGACCCAGACTCAAGTAGTATGTAAAAGCAAAGAACGTTTATTCTGCAGAGAATTCCAGTGTGCTGGGGTCACCACCTTCACAACATGGAGGTGACCCCCAGAGGAGTTTTTTAAAAGCCAAATAGGGAAATTCTAGGGACAGTTAAATCATCCTTATTCTGATTGCCACAAGTTAGAAATAAAAGGTATAGGTGCATTGGGGATTGGCTAGGGCTTTATTCTGGAGTTGGAGGTTTTCTCAACCGATTCAAACTGGTCCAAGCTGGTAGTTGAACAACCTTGAGCAACCTTATCTCCCCCGGGCCAGATGTACTGGTCATTCCTTATTGGTTGTCCAATCTCTGTGGATTTTCCTGTAACTGGTATCTCAGTTTTGAAAAATACAGATTTAGGTCTACTCTGACTAACTGAAGCCTGTCATGGAGTCTGCATAGCCAACTAAATAGATACTAAACCTGCCCCAGCTTATTCAAGGGTCAAGCAGGCCCAATCAAAATAGATCAGGGCCATCTAGGAAGGTATGGCTGTAGACTGCAGACCCCTTAGCTGTAAGGCCTCCATTGGGATTTCCTTCTGTGCATGGAGGCTACATGACTCTGATTAGGATTGGCTGGCCTCTTGGAATTAAGTCATTTCAAAGGAAACCACAAGATTGGGGCTTTAAGGGTAGGCAGATGAGGTCAGGTGAAGAAGGCCTGACATAGCCTTATAGATGGTGGCTGGGGGTGTCATCACCTCCAAAAGTACCATAAAGGAATCCAGATGTTCAGTGGTCACTTCCTTGTAAGTGACAGAGAAACATTTACAGCGACCAGAGAGGAAACTTACCAAACTGTTGCTGGTTAATGGAGTGCTGCACATTTGGTGAGCTGGGAAGTTAGTGTTGGTGGTGAGGGATAGGATCTCAGTGCAGGGTATAATTCACTCGAGGGTAAAAGCAGGTACCAGGTAAACCTATCTGAGTCACAGAACCAACATAAATTTTGCAGCTCTGAGGGATAAGGTATCCTTGCAGTTTAAAGACAAGGAATACCACAAATTACACTACACAGCAAACCTTACATAAGAGGTATATTGGGAGGTAAAAACCCAGGAGGGTGGCTGCCATTGCTCAGGAGAGAAACATCAGAGAACTGAGCAGAGGACAGGGTTTATATAGAATTTATTTGGGGGAGAAATATTCCAGGGTGGGGATTAGTAAAATTTAGAGTCAATCGCTTGGGCTTTTTAATCTGTAGGAGGGGGCTGGGTCCAGCTGTTAGGGCAGTTTGAGTATTCTGTGATACCTAGCCAAGGCATGGGCAAGGAGAAAGAGAAGAAAGGAAAGGCTGATGAGAGATTGCATCATGGATGAGAAAAATAGAGACAGGTGGGGAGAGTTGAAAATTTGATGTTTTATCTAAATTTGGTATAGATTTAAATCATGAGCTTCTTCTCTACTGGAAATTGCCTCATTCTACCATTCTTTCCTAAGGTCCTTTCAGGAAATTAACTTTTCAGGAAATTAACTGAACTTGGAGTTTTATGTGGGAGCCTTAAGTCTGGGGGTTTTATTTGTATGTCTTTTCAGAACTGCCACGACAGTCCCTATAATTTTTGTCCATATCCTGTGAAATTTCCACCCTATTTATAAAATAAGTAAGTTGTACCTCAGCCTATGTGGCCCAATTATATCCCAGTGTAGTTTTCTGTCTGTCTATCTATCTATCTATCTATCTATCTATCTATCTATCTATCTATCTATCTTTCTATCTTTTAAGGAATTTTATTTATTTTATTTGTCCCGTGAGAATCTTAGGTTCCTAGGCATCTGTGTCCAAGCAAAATTCTCTATGGACGGTGGTGTCTTAAAGGACTTCACTGTTTTTTTTTTTTTTTTCTTTCTTGAACTTATCTTTTTTTAAAAAAAAAAAAAAATTCAGTATCATATGTAGCTGACAAAACCAACTTATGTTTTCAATATTCTGTCCAAGTTTACACATTCATCATATTCATTTTTTTTTAATTTTTAGTTACATTTTGTTAACTCTGTGTCCCAGCTGTATCCCGCTCCCTCATTCCCTCCCCAACCCCACACTCCCTCCCTGGTCTCCTCCCTGCCCCTTTCCAAGTCCACTGATAGGGGAGGACCTCCTCCCCTTTCATCTGACCCTGTTTTATCAGGTATCTTCAGGGCTGGCTGCAAAGTCCTCCTCTGTGGCCTAACAGACTGCTCCTCCCCTGGGGGGAGGGGGTGTCAAACAGCCTGCCCTTGAGATCCTGTTAGAAATAGTCCGTGTTCCCCTTACTTTGGAAAACTACTTGGTTACTGAGCTACCACAGGCCACATCCGAGCAGAAGTTCTAGGTTATATCCATAGATGGTCCTTGGTTGAGTGTCAGTCTCAGAAAAGACCCTGTGCCCAGATATATTTGGTCCTTGTAGAGCTCCTATCCTTTCCATATCATACTAACTTTTCTATAGAACAGCAAGGTTAACTTCTTTGTTGGACCTTGGTCTTCATTCAGTGATGGCACATAGGAGGTATTCAATATGTACTTGTTGCAGTAAAGAGAACTAGAGTCATTCATAATCACTCAGAAGCAATTGCAATTAGGAACTACGATAAATATTTTATAAACTTAGAGCCATTCCAGATTACTTGTTAAAAGGACATTGCTCAGAAGATTTTCATAGATTTTCAAGATTTTCGTAGATTAGCTGTGGATACTCCTGAGAAACCATACAGGTATGTTAAATTGGATTGCCTAGAATAAATGTGAAAAATATCCTACTTTCAAGGCACACAATAGTTAGTTTAATGAATCGAGATCTTCTTCTTTCTGCATTGCATATAGATACTTATAGTCACATATTGCTATACAGAGAGGAATATTTTTGCCCATTAATAATATGTAGGTCATATACAGCAATGTATAGGTCTTTACTTAGATCTGTTTTATTTTTTTTCCCCTAAACCCTACACTTTCAAACCTGGAATTGGTGGATTCTTCTCTATATCATAGGCTGTTTTTACTTAGGTTGTTTCCATGATTAAAATGATTCTGTGTCTCCCCAGGTTTCTGTGAATCAGCAGTACCACAGAAAGTGTTTCTCTTCTTTAAATTCCAGAGAAGTCTTGGAGTGAAAAAAAACAACTCAAAAAGGAATCCTGGTCAAAGAGCCTATGCCTCGGTGAGGAGGTTTAGTATAAACACAGCTGATGTCTTCCCATTCTTAAGGGTAGCAACCTTCAAGTGAGTTCAGAGGGCATCCCTTGGGTCTCATACGCTTTGTATAAAAAATTGAAAAGCTTTATTTTAACCACATTGTCATTAGTTTATGGTCATAGAATAGCAAGTTCCAAGGCTATCTTTAATATTATCAAAGAATGAGCATAGTTATTTGCATTGGCTTTTTAAAACAGAAATCATACAAACCCAATTCTATCCTATTATTGACAAGGTCAGTCAAAGTAAAAAAAAAAAAAAAATCTTCCTAGGTATTTTTATAACATTCCAGGTACTAGTTAAATTGTTCCTATTCAAGTGTGCCGGGGTGTGCGTGCATGTATGTGTGTGTGTGTGTGTGTGCGCGCACGTGTGTCTGTATTTATGGGTTTAGATGTATTTGTTTGGATGCATACATATGGATGTGTGCAGGTGTATATATACACAAGTGCATATTTTGGAAGCTGGAAGTCAATGCTGAATGTCTTCCCGTAGAATGTTCCAACTTATATTCTATTATGTGGTCTCTTCAGTTGACTTGGTGATTCAATGAGTTACAGTGCCAGGTTGGCACACTGCAACAATTCCTGTGTCTGGGTTCTCCCAGTGTTGGGGTTACACCAGGTGTGAGAAGCCCAGCTTTTTCCTTCATTACTAGGAATTCAAACTCAGGACCTGAAGCTTCAGTGGTGCTAAAACATTTTATACCAACTTCACATCAGCTAGAGTCATCTGGAAAGAGGGAACCTCAATTAAGAAGATGTCCCAAGGAGATTGACCTATAGTCTAACCTGTGATGTGTATTCTTGATTGAATGTTGACCTGGGAGGGCCAGCTCACTGTAGGTGTGGCTATGCCTGGCAGGCAGTTCTGGGTTGTATAAGAAAGGAGGCCAAGCAAGCCCCAAGGAACAAAGCAGCAAGGAGCATTCTTCCATGGCTTTCACTCTTGCATATAGGTTCATGCCTTGAGTCCCTGACTGACTTCTCTCAGTGATGAACTGTGTGATTTAATTTACTTTTGGTCCTGGTATTTTATCACAGCAATAGAAACTCTAAGACACCCTATCCCTAAAAGAGATATTTTGAATGACTTCTTACAGTTCAGAAAATAATTTAATCAACAACTTCTGTTTTCTTATAAAGATAGTAGTAAAGTTTAAAGAATAGACATCTGGCAACAATCAGAAGAACAACATGGGAGAAACTGAGAAAAGTGTTGCAACCCATGGGGTCAGATGCTTTTCCAAGATCAAGGTATGGATTGTTTCTATCTATGCATGCATGTACACATCAGAGCTTTTGTTGTTGCTTTTTGTCTTTGATTTTGTTTTTAACAAGCACTGAAAGTGTCTGTAAACATTGCACAGCTCACAAAGTTCTCCAATACAAATGCCATTGTACTCAATGTGCTGTTAATTTCTTGTTTTAAAAAAGTTGGTTTTATAATTAGGGATGTCTAACCAGGGTTATTCATTCAGGAAACTTAGAATGATTCAGAGCAATGGTTGTCAAGAACTCTTTATTGGTCAAATGACGCTTTCACAGAGGGTGCATATAAGATATCCTACCTATCAGATATTTAAATTGAGAGTCATATCAGTTTCAAAATTAAAGTTACAAAGTAGCAACAAAAATAATTTTATGGCTGGGATCAATATGAGAAACTTTATTAAGGGAATACAGCATGAGGGAGGTTGAGAAACACTACTCTAAAGGTTCTTAAAGAGAAATGGGATTTAAGATGTTTTAGGTGTGTATTTGTTGTGGTGGATTTTACTCTGAAGTCAGAGGTCAATCCAGTATTCAGCCTTCAGGGTCCTGACAGAAGGTCAGGAGTTATAGCTATAAATCAGCTCCCCATCAGAAGTACTCCGTTTATTAATATGAAATGATGACTTTATGACCTGTGTAGAAAAATATTTTTCAAGTTTTGACAACATAATAATCATTGTTTTAAGAAAACAGTCTGTTCTATTATCTTTTTGAGTGGTTTATAGTATTTTACAGACAACTATTGTTCTCATACCCCCAAAGACATCTTTACTTTACAAAATGTGAACTTCTATTGACCCACAAAATTTAACACTTGTCTAGTTTCTGCAGAGTCCTTCAAACATTTCTCTCTGAGGTACTGCATCCTAACTCATTCTATTAAATGGTCATTTTACCTTTATTTACATGTAGTGGAATTCATATATTAATGTAAACAAGGCTTCAGAAAACCTGACGAGTGTTTTTTTTTTTTTCCTGCAATGATGTATACATTATTGGAACCACAAACCCCTCAAATTTCCTTTCAGTTTTACATGATTCTGAGGAGCCCAGGCCCCTGGCTCCTGACCTCATTCAAATGATTATTAGATGTGCCATTTTGTACAAATTACACAACCTCTTCATACTTCAGCATTTTTTATTGAAAATAAAAAATAAAAAATGGCATTGAAAATAGCAATGGTCGTATTAAATTCTGGGATTTAAAAAATGCTGTGAAACCTCTCTGTGTGTGTCTTTCTCTCTGTGTCTCTCTCTGTATGTGTGTGTGCTCACCTTTCTGGGTTATCCCACCCTACTGGAATGAGGGGTTTACCCTAGGCACTCATACACACTCAGCAGCTTCTTTTTCACTGATCTGTATCTCCTCCTACACCTTTACTATGTTTTAATTTCCTTAATTTATGCTTTATCTTGTATATATGATGTTTTGTCCTCATGTATGTTGGTGAATCATTTGTGTATCTTGTATATTTTGAGGACAGAAAAAGGTGTTGTATCACCTGAAACTAGTGTTAGAGGTGGTTTTTGAACCACCATGTGGGTACAGGGAACTTAGCACAGGTCCTCAACAAGAGCAACCAGTGCTCTTAACCACTGAGCCACCCCTCCAGCTTCAGGTCTTTGGGTAATGATGAGTATTGTGATTACTAGATAATATTTATAGAGAAAACTCATCAGTTGTCATTATAAACACCACTGCTCAATGTTCATCTTTGTTAACTGTTTTTGTTAGAGTTTCTGTTGTTGTAAAGAGACACCATGATCACTGAAACTCTTACAAAAACATTTAATTGGGACTGGCTTACAGGTTCAGAGTTTTAGTCTGTCATGACCTGAATAATACTAGCATGCAGGAAGACGTGCTGATAGAAAAGGAGTTGAGAATTCTGCATTAAGATTGACAGGCAGCAGGAAAAGAATGACAGTGGGCCTGGCTGGAATTTCTGAAACCTCAAAGTCTGTCCCCAGTGACATACTTCATCCAGCAAGGCCACACCTACTTCAACAAGACCATCCCTTCTACCCATGTCAGTTCCTGGTAGCCAAACATTCATGTCTACAATCCTATGAGGGTTATTCCTGTTCAAACCACCACAGTTACTTTGGAGTTTAATAACTGTAGATATTGGTGTGCATCTTATGGGGAAATTTTCAATCCACTAGTTTATATGACAAAATTCTGAGGTAACCATTTAAAAATAATTAGATTCTTCTCCTCTGAATTTAGACCTATATAGAAAAATGGGGTTGTCAAAGGGTCTAAATTGCCAGACTGAAGCTCCTCTTTCCTGTGTTTAGACACATAATCATTAAGAAAAATTTTCAGGGCAGGATCAATTATGGCCTTCATGGCCTTCACGGCCTTCAGTCATACATGCACTGGTGACCAGGAACCAATGGTTAGTTCTTACCTGGTGGCTACACAGATGACAATGGTTAAACTACACAGGTCAACAAAAACAAACAAAAACTCATGAACCTTGGAAAAGGATTGGTAAAAACAAACATATTGATGAACAAGAAAGAGGAAGAAAGTGACAATCCAAACATACCGTGTATGTATGAAATCACCAAACAGTTAATTATTAAAGAAAAGACAAGAACATTAATCAAGAGGCATGGGGAGATACATTGATCAAAAAAGTAGTTGCTTTGGAAGCAGGGGTCCTGAATTCAGTTCCCAATGCCTACATAAAAACTAGGCATAGCAACATGGGGACATAGAGTCAGGCAGATACTTGGGACTCATTGATGAGCCAGCCTTACCTCCTGGGTGAATTCCAGATAGGTGAGAGCCCGACCTATTTGTATAGTTTTTAAAAAAAAAACTATACAAATCTTGAGGACTCACACCTAAGGTTGTCTTCCTGTCTCCCCATGTACATGAATTCATCCCACATGACTATGCACACACATACACAAAAAGGTAGATTAAGGGGGGAAGAAAGAGATACAGAAAATATCAAAAGGAAGCATGAAAAAGTCTTCTGCAAAGCAACTTGCTGGAACCTCTCCATGGTTGAGGTGAAACTTCAGTAGGATTAGCTCTATAAATACAGTTGTTTTGTAGCAGTAGACCTGAAGCAGCATGGTCACCATCCTCTGAAAGAGTCACATTGGGAAGAGAAAACATCACTGCAATGGCATTTTGAATTAGGAAACAAGTGTCTACACTTTTTAAATATATTGAACTTGGTGTTCACAATTCCCTCCTTTTTCTTTCTTTCTTTCTTTCTTTCTTTCTTTCTTTCTTTCTTTCTTTCTTT